TCCTCAGACTCCTGTTTCCTGCGCTGGACATCATGGTTCCTGGATGCACCATGCAGCTGGGTGAACTGTTCCTTTATAGTGTGGCAAAACGTTTCACTATACCACTTCACAACACCCAGTGTGCTAGTGACGGCCGTGTAAGGCATTTCTAGGTTCGGATGAAAGAATGCCACACGTATTATCACTCACATCTTAGCATAGCCATGTCTGAGTTTCTCGAGGGGACACGCACAGGAGCAGGACTCCTGACCACCTTCCCAGATGCTGCGGAACGGCTGTCACAGGCTCATCACACGGCACCTGTGGGAGTCCTCGGCGTTCACATTCTTGCCCGTGCTTGACGCTCTCAGCATGTTTACTATTTGACTGAGGTATGCCGCTAGACTTTTTCTAAAGCTTTGTAGGCAGGATATCTGTCAGAAGTTAATATGTAATATACATGGTCTTTCTTTAACTTATTAGTAGTCGAATGTATAACTCTAAGGGACAATGTGGTAATTTTTATTATACTTATAAAATCATCCTCTAGATCAAATATGTACTAGTTTTACCACCCAAGAACATTTCCTTGTGTCCCTTCTCCATTCTCCCGACTTGCACCGGCATGGATTGGTCTGGGTTGCCCTTGAACTTGACATAAGTGAGATCACAGAAAATATACCGTTTTGCTCTGTGTAAGTCAGTTCACCATTTCCGGCTGCTGAACAGTGTCTCTGTGTGACTATGCTACAACCTGTGTACCTGTGCTCCCTCTGGTGGGCATTGGGAGTGCTTCCACTTTGGGGCTATTCGAACACAGCTCCCACACACAGGTATTCCTATGGCCCTTTCTCTTGGGTATATACGCAAGGACGGTATTGCTTGTTCCTGGGAGGGACCCGTGTACAACGCTGGCTTTCTAAAGGGGCACCATCTACATTCCCCAGTACGAGGAGCTTCCTTCTTGCCATTTCACCATGGCTGGGGATGGCGCTGTAATTGTGTCCTCTGGACCTGGGTGCTTCTGTGCTACTCTTTACTGTAGGGTCCTCACTCCAGGCCGTCAGTATGTATTTGCACATGACCTTTCTCACTTCCATTTCTGCTAGTGGCCTATAGTGACTCCAGCTGTGCTAGGACTTTGTCCAGAGTTTAACAGGAAACGACGAGTGTCTCAGGGCAGGAGAAGTGGAAGAAGCTCCCCAAGGTGAGACCAGGGATAAACTGCTCAGGTGGAAAGCGATTCTGCAGGTTCTGAGCTCGTCCCGGCCCCAGCCTCCTCTGGTGTGGTCTGAAGAGAAAAGCCTGCAGGAGCCTCACTTGGGGGCACTATTTGAAGGACCTTCTGGTGATTATTATTTATCCTTTCCTGATAGCTTCCTGCCTTGAAAAAGTCAGGGGAGGGAGAAGGGGAGGAACATCAGCCTCCTTGAAATGGAGGATTCTGCTGTGTCTGAGGCAGTTTCTACCCCTCTTCTCACCTTCACTGCTTCCACAGCAGGGGAGCTGCCTGCTGCACCGCCCAGCGGGGAGGAAGATGGCGGCCAGGGGAGGCTGGAAAGAGAAGGCCCCCACCGCCAAGTTTCCTTTTAGGAAGAGCAAAGTAGTCCTTAGGTGACCCGCCTGAGCGAGTGGTTAGTGTCTTGACGACCTGCGACAGTAAGTGCCCAGGCACCCACCCAGGCCACTGCAATCTCTTCCGGGGCATGAAAGAACAGAAAGTGCACAACCCAAAAACTTCAGATGTGTGGCTACTCAGTTGTTTTCTGTATACACAAGGCGCTGTTCAACCACGCGCGTGCAGGGTGAGCAGAGCAGAGCCCTGGCGAGTTCTGACTCTTTCCTCTTCAGCGCAAGGTGCCGGAAGGGTAAATAAAAGTTACACGTTAGTGCTTCCATTTATGTCTCCACAGCAAGTCACCTCACTTCCGCTCTTTACATGTCTTCACGTTTCCACAGCAGTAAAATGAAAAATTTACGTTACTAAGAAACAGGTCAGAAGCAGCGCTTTATGCACCTCTACCACGTCTATGCATTCTCAGGCCCCGATCTCAGATCTGAGTGAAGTCGCTGCTCCCTCCTGTCCATGCCGTGACCTGCGTCTGTAACCCCCAGGAGGAGGCTCCCCGCAGTCCACGGCCAGCTCTGTACTCAGTGAGGACGGGCAGAACAGAGCACTGCTGCGTCTGAGAACCTCTGGGCGTCAGAGGAGGCGGATCAGGGAGAAAACCTCGTGGGATGGGAGGGGGCCGACGTCACTGGAAGGAAGATGCACAGCTCTGCAGCGCCGCGGATGTTCATCTGGACAGAAGCCGCTGTGAGGAGCTGGGGACCGCCTGTGCCTTCCAGCTGCCCACCCTGAGCCAGTCCTGGGGGAATGCTCCAGCCAAGACCTCACACGGGACTGCACCTGCTCCGGGGTCTCTGCTGGCCTGGACAGGAGGTCCTCAAAGCTGCCTGCAGCCGCTCCCCCGGTTTCCACTCTCACGGGGCAAAGACTGCCCACCCCAGCTCTTGCTCCTCTCCCCTTAATCCTTCCCAGGCCTGGGGGCCCTGCTCCAAACCTCTTTTGCAGCAGGACATGGTGGGAGATGCCTGTTGTCTCAGGACTCTGGGAGGCTGAGGCAGGAGGATAGCAAGTTTGAGCCCTGCCTGGGCAACTTAGTGAGATCTGTTTCAGAATACACAATTTTAAAAGGTCTGCAGTTATAGGTCAGTGTAAAGGCCCTGCATTCACCTCTAGTACTACAAAAGACACCAAAAAACTTCACCCTGATGTCTCCTTCACCCAAGACTCAAATGACCAAGGCGGTAGCTGCTCTGACAAGATTACTCACTTGCCACTGAGCTTCACGAACACGTAAGATTCTACCCTCCAAAAAGAAAACACACTTAATGAATGAAAAATTAACATGCTCAGCTATGACTCCCCGAGCTGAAGAAATAAAAGGCATTTCCACACTGCTACAGAACTCCACACTGATTTTCTTCTCCTTACACGTCTCTATCATCACTCCGAAGCCAGAGACTCCGTGAAAGGTACAATTATTTATGCTCCTTCAGATTAACAAATCATGCAAATCCCTCACGAGACTTTCAAGGGAAGATGCTTCCAGCTCCAACGACAGTGCTCCTTGACTATTTCAAGCGGGTGTTCCCTGTCAGAAGACTGACGTTCCTTTCCGTCCCCAGCAAACAGACATCCGAGTGGGTTTCAGTCTGCGTCCTTAAGCTAGCTTTGTCTCTCACCGTTTCCACTTGGGCATTTGGGCGTTTCCTCGACATGGTCACTTGGCCGAGCACCCCCTATCAGTCAGGCTCAGTGCTTACTGCACTCTTGAGGCGTGGCCTGGGGAGCTGCACCTGGGTAAATAGCCCAGATCCTCCCAGGATACTTTAGTGCAGTGCAGAAAGAAATCCGGACGGTGTGGGAGGGAGTGACGGGAGGGTAATCCGATAGGTTAATTAAGAATCCTCCAAGGAGTCATGATCTGAACAGACCTGACTTACAAGGGGGGCACCCGTGGCGCACGCAGGGGAGACAGGAGGCAGCAAAGGCCGGGAGGCACCCTCCTGAGCTGCAGCAGGAGGAGGAGGCAGGGCCTCCCTCCCCCACCCCCAGAGAACCATTCTGCGTCTGTCTTCATCCATGCTCCTTCTCCATGTCCGCACAGGGCGGGGCCTGCAACAGCGCTCTGAATAAGTAAACAAACTGTCCTCATAGGTGTTACTTTTACCCGTGCCCTCTGACTTTCCAGTTGAGAGCGGGGTTGAAGCCGCATCCCAGGCCGCTCCGACCCTCCAGAGCCAGGTGAACTATTCCCACAGGCAACGGCTTACAAGGAAGGTTTGTGTCCCTCTCAAGATTCCCATGCTGCAAGCCTGCCTGCCCCCAGGAGGCAGCATTCCGGGGCTCTGGGGAGGGATTCCCTCACAGGGACAGAGCCTTCCTCACACATCGGTGCCTGTACTGACACTGAGACTTGGGATCCTGAAGGGTCAGTGAGAACTTCCTAAAGCACAACTGTGTGGGATGTTGTCAGTCGTCTGACTTCTCTACTTTCATTTGGTTTAATATTGTTACTTGTTGCACAACTGAACAATTTTAAGAACAGAACAATTAATCCACATCTTACTTGATCAAACCCTCACAACCTAGAGTTTCCCTGGAAAAGAGGGTGTCTGTCAAGCTCTACAGAGTTGGCTTATATCTGAAGACAGTCCTCCCCAAAGGTGTGAAGAGATTTTATCACAGCTGTGGGACTGAAGGGAAATTTATTATGGTTACTAATGCTATTTCTGTCAATGTCTTTGGAATTCTAATTAGATTATTAAAACTTTGCAAATCATTACATTAGATCCAGACTCCACACCTCACTGTGACAAGGGTACTTTTGAAATTAGAGGCTCCTGATATCATGGGTAATGATGCATTGCTGATAATAAAGTTGCAGGGAAATTCCTCCAATAAAAACCAGTTGGAAGAGACAGAAGCCATTTATCTTACTTTCTCTCCTAGCTTTCTGCCCGAGGATAAGGTGTCTGCTGCGCACACATCCGCACTGCCTTTTCTGTTCTACCAGCTGCATAACAACTCTGAGCCCCATGCTGTAATGTTTGATGGCTTGTCTTGGCTACTTAGTTTTGTCCCCTAAATCTCAGAGGCAAATAAAAAAAATTGTACGTGAAAAGACACTTCAAAGAAGGATATTTTTAGGAGAGAGATGAGACAAACGGCAGGTTCAACATTAAGAATATACCGTATCTCAGGGCAGCGTGATTTACCACATGTGCATTCCAGTCGGCACCTGAAGACAAACAAATGGCTGCCTGCTAACCCAGCTCCATTGCAGGTAACCTATGAGTGTGCTCTTTACCCACCAAATAATGGGCCTAGTGCCCTTCAATATCAGTGGATGAGGAATGAGTTTCGTCCCGTCCTCTGCAAGATAACCTGGTGCCTCCAGGTGGAGATCCGAGCCCTCGCGTTCCAGCGCAAGAAGGATATGTGGCTTACTTACCATGATGTACGACGCCCCTCAACCCATGGATAATAGGATCCAGTGCAGAATTGTCCCTCGGACTGACCTACATGTAAAGAAAACATGATTGGTTAAATCTATCCTGGCATCAAATACAGCAGCCTCAGTTTAATCTCCCAAAGAGAAAGGGGAAATAGATGTTATCTAGCAAGTTGTTTAGGTCTCACACCTACCACGGCTCTCACCAAATGTGAGAGATTTACAACATAATAAAATCAAGTGAGGAGGTCTAAATCAAAAGAAAGAAACTTCTCAGAATACATTATAACAGGAGAGAAATACCACAGTCCTAGCAAAATCTTAAAAAGCAACTGCAAGACTTTCTTCCTGCTTTGTTTTATTAAAAGTGGGCCCTGATCAGCTAAAAAGTCATTGAAAGTCATCAGAGAGCCATCCGTCACTGACTGAATATTTCAATACCTTCTGGAGATTTTTTTCCCTCCTCAGAAAAGGCATCAGTTCCCTGGCAGCCTGCTCTCCTTTGTAAGAACCCCAGCCTCTGTGAAGAACCCGCCGTAGAAGGGGCATCTGTAAGAGCCGCTCAAAGCTAGGCAGCAGAGTGAGCAGCTCAAACAGCCAGCGTCCCCATCTTCATGTTCTTCGGAGCTTTTTGATGTCTCCAAAGCCGAGCCTATTTGTCCTGAATCCCACTGACTTTCCTTTTCCCTTCTGATAGTACTTAGCAGAAATTCCTATTCTTGCCCTCATCAGAAGATTAAAATCACATCAGCACATTACAATTATCATTTTTAGGTACTTTGTCGTAGATACACTTTGAAATGTTTGCCAATGAAACGCCACCAGAAATCTGCTTCAAATAACCCAAGTGGACAGCAGGGGGCGAGAGTGAGGCGCAGATACCAGAAACTGGATCCATCCATCCATCACTTATGACCTTGGGTGATCAGAACAGGATGGGTCATGATATATCTTCTCTACTTTTGTGTTTCATTTTTAATGTTTAATTTTTTCCAAAATAAGGAGCTTTTCAAAATCCATTATCTGTGGTCACCAAAGCTCCTGCCCCCTCCTGTTTCCTCTTCAGGGATAGTATTTACCACTAATCCACTTCTAACATAATGAAGTTGAGATATTGATGAATCTTTCAAAGTGTAGCAAGACTCAGTTTGACGTTGTAGGTTAGTTAATTCAGAGGAGTCCAGAGCCATCCCTAGGTGAAATTTTAACATACTCCTCCCTACCCATATAGCCTCTGCTGGGCCGCTGCACCTAGCTCGTGCTCGCAGATAATAACCCACACTTCACGCTTTCCCTCCTGGCCTCTGCTTCAGCAGCTCCAGCAAAAGCTGGGGTTGTCAGCTGAGGGTCGTTCTGCTCCCTAAGGGGACAAGTGACAGTACCCAGAGATTTTTTTGGGTGTCACAAGTAGGGATGGAGGGGGAGACAGAAGAGGAGGAGGAGCTACTAACATCAAAAAGGAGGAGGCCAGGACTGCTGCTAACTGCTCCAGTAGGTGAGTCCCCCAAGGAAAACTGCCGGGCTGGGTAGGTCAGTGGTGCAGAGGGCAAGGCCGACAAACCCTGGTGAGACAGATGCTTCTTGAGTTAACGGTGATTCCCTCTGAATGGCTGCAGCCCGAGGTGTGCCAGATTCAGAGCTCAGGTATCACTGTGTAGTCACGTTTACAGACTAACGAACTACTATGAAACCTGGAAGTATGTCATAAACACTACAGGCATGGGGAAAAAAGAATCTGTGCACCAGGACCCAGTATAACAGATCAGACAGACAGAAGTCTGGGAGCTGCCGAGAAAGCCTCCCAGTTATCTGAGAAGAAGCTCAAGCTGGGAGTTGAATACACTAGTTCAAGGATGAAACATTCTTGAAAGGTGAACATCCACCGAACACACCAACGCAAAAGGGTATCTGAAGAAATTCTGCGTCTGTATTACAGGAAGTCATTGATCAGAATGTGGTATTAAAAAGAAATCACAACTCAAGAAGGCAAAACAAGATAATCTAACCAGAAAATGTGGCCATACTTCCAAAGTCCAGAATGCAGTAAAATAAGAGCCTAGGGAAGGATCCCATGTCAAAGAAAGGCTATTGATAAAAAGAAGTTCTGTGGTTTGCATGAGTGTTCCCAAGGCTCTACGGAGAGGCACTGCTGTAAGGTGCTGAAACCTTTAGGACAAGGGGCCTAGCAGGAGGTCTTTAGGTTACTGGGTGCATGTCCTTGAAAGGATTTTTTTTGCATGACTCAAGCCCTTTCCTCTTTCCTTTTGGCTCCCTGGCTTCAGAGGTGAGCCATTTGCCCTCCCACAAGGTGCTATCTTGACTCAAGTCCAAGCAGTAGGACCACCTGATCATGGACTGCACCTCCACAACCAAAATCAACCTTTTCCTTTGTAAGTTAATTACCTCTGGTATTTCCTGACAGTGACAGGAAACAGATTAACACAGGCGGTCTCTTAATTGGTCTGGCAGAGATGCTCCTACTAGTTTACCTGTACGCACTCTATTATCTGTGTGACGCATCAGAATGGCCCCAGACTCCTCTCATCCTTGCTACTTACACACTTTGACTGTGCCACTTCTCCATCAAGAGTGTATGTCAATTTTATCTTTTGAAACTACATTTGTGCATGTGCTTTGGCTAAAGAGGAATCAGCGAGTGCTTGCAGACAGAAGCTCACAGAGCATTTGCAATCCCAAGGCCAGCAGATAAGGAAACCCAAGTTAGCCCCCTGGAAGAGAGCACAGGTTGCAGACACAGCAGCCACCACTGAGGCGCTGCTAGGTGCCAACCACTAGGCAGGCGAGTGTGTCCATGGAGGCCTCTGGCCCCAGCTGAGCTATCCGTGCGCTCTGCAGAGACCCAGCTGACTGGCTCCCGCCTTTTCTACCCGCTAGTCTACAGAAGTAGGATATAATAAAATGATTGTTATTTTAACTAATTGGCATCATTTGTTTTACAGCAAAATTTACTACAGCTTCTAAAAATATGTGTAGAGGAGAAGGATAAGAGGCTATATTAATAATTTTCCTAACAAATACAATTTTGCTTATGCAAAACTTTTCCTTAAAGGTTTCTTGCTGAGATTGCATATTATAAGCCTGATGAGTTTATGCATTTCTCCAAAACGGTGTCAACCATCCTGAACTATGGCAACAATTCCCCGATACATTAGTCCCCCTATAGCCGTGATTTTGTTTTCTGAAGCTTCACTTATGTATGGTTAACTGTGGCCTGAACATTTTACATGGAAAAGCTCAGAAACAAAAAAGGTTTAAATCGCGCATGGTTTTGAGTAGCATGATGAAATCTCAGGCCACCCTGCTCTACCTTGTCTGGAACATAAACCATCCTCCCGCCCAGAGTATCCACACTGTATTAGCTACCTGTCCGTTAGTCACCGAGGACTCTCCTAGGTTATCAGATCAGTCACAATAATATCACAGCGCTTGTGTTCAAGAAACCCGTATTTTACTTTACAGCAATCCCAAATTTCAAGAGTCTTGAGGCTGGCAAATTTGTTACAGTATATGGTTACACTTGTTTTACTTTATCATTAGGTAGCTGTTGTAAATCTGTTACTGTGACTAATACTGTATATAAATCAAACTCTATCATAGCTATGTGCATGTAAGAGAATTTACAGCACATACAGAGCTTAGCACTGTCTGTATTTTCAGGTATCCCCTGCAGATGAGGGGGATTATAGTGTGCATGTTCCATCCACACTGAGATGAGCTATTTTACAGTTAGGGGCACCCTGTAATGCATCTGGTCTTGTCTGATGATGTGAAGGCTCAAAGGAAGTGCTCCTAATCTTCCGTGACTGACACCCTCTGATAATATTTGTAGGTCACAGGAGAGGAAAATAGCCAGGCAGCCTAAGCCAAGTTCACTTGCTGTTCACTTGTGTTCAAAGCTTCTCTGTGTGCACAACTCAGACGACGCCTCATCTGAGCTCAAAGATCTGACCCTATATTCTAAATAACTCCATGAATGGAAAGCCCTCTCCACCGTCCATCCAGCTGCACAAGCTCTACTGCTGGTGTGTACCGCTGGGGTTCCTAAGATGGATGAAGAGAAAGAGAAAATGGATTTGTTGGCTGGTCAAAAAAACTAATAATATTGAGCTCATTCTCCAATCTGAGTCTTCGTTCTAGCACTTAGGATGGGAAATCCAAACAGCACGCTAGTAAGTGGATTTTCCCCAGGAAGGTACAATCCTAACTGAAACAATCCTTTCTACTCACTGTTTCAATCAATTTGCCACTTTAAAAATTATGCACATAAGCTAAGCAATTTGGGCAGCTTTAATATGATGATAGTGGAGAATACTTTTAGCAACTTGCATTGACATTCTACTCTCCAGGGTACAGGAGGCCATGAGAGGGTGCAAAAAGGGAATTCTGAATCAGCAAGTGCCCCTGAAGCTTCACGTCCTCGTCTGCACAGTAGAGACCCGATCTCACAGTATTCTTGGACAGAATATAGCTCAGAGTATAGTGCTGAATAAGAAAGCAGCATCCCCAAAGAGACGGGAAACAAGTTAACCTAAACCCTCAAATTTAAATGAATGTCGAACAACGGCGTTTTTCCTGAGTTTCTCAATGTGTTTGGCTCTCAAAGTAATACCTCTTTGAGCTCACATTTCAAAAGCTCCAAATTTATGTTTTATTTGACATCCACTCAATTTTGTAATATGCTGCTCCTTTTAAAGCCACATGAGGAGTCTTCCTGGCTCTTACAACTAGCTGCCTTCTACTTTAAGATCAAAGGAGTTACGCGGTAATACTGAGAAGGCAGCAGTTGTGCAAAGGAGCTTAAATGGACTAGAAGAAATAGACACCCCCTCTCCCTTCAGAGCTCCTGCTCTCATCACAGAACTTAGCTCCTGGCACTTCCCTTTAAGAGCCGCTTTCATGGCATTCGTCATCCTCGAAAGGATGGCACACAAACCTGACGGAGGGGGTGGGTTACGCCTTCCAGTCGTCACTGGATATATCCGAAGTACACAGAGACACTGGCACACAGAGCACTATGGCGTGCAGGTTTGGACTACAGGCCAAATA